AATATTTCCATCAACACAAGATCTATAATAAGATGGTAGAGATCGAACCATTTCTTCAAGATTTTGAAAAACAAACCGGCCAAAGAAAGCGAGATAAGCATCCAACTCCCTTCAAATTTCACACATACAATAATTTTTTCTAATACAAAATCTGTTTTCAAGATGATGTCGCAATATTTATATAATATTTAGTTATGTCCGATACGAAATGGACAAATTTGGTCCATTCATTCGGCTGACCATGTGATACTCTACAACACAACAATATGATAGAAGCCCCCTTGTGTCCAAATCCATTTTAGAAGATTTCGCTTTTGTAATTATGTCATGGAACAGTGCCCAGATATTACCCTTAGCAGGGACATTTGTCCAATATTTACGAACTCCGTTGTGCTGTTAGTTGTTGTGGTCCATTCTACAGCTAAATCATCCAAACTGCTACACTTCGTCCCTGTCCTGTACTCTCTCTTTCCTTTTTTTGGGTCATTTGAATCCCTAAATGTTTTGCAATCATCTCCAAAAGCAAGAGGCCCCTCTGTTTCTTCAAATTTAGACTCATCTATATGATTTGCTTGTCTACGATATTTGGCTATATTCGTCAACGAAAAGCATACAAAAGCCAGAAATTCGCCTTTTGTGTATTTCGGATTTTGTCTGTAAGTTATTTTCAGAGTTTCGGTGGATTTGGAAATGTTGGCATTTTCACACAAAAGTATTGGTCCATTCTACTCGCTGCCTTAAACTCTAACTTCATGCGAGCGTTCGTGTCCTTTGGTTCTATTTGTGACCTTTATAAAGGCTGCAAAACCAGGAACATTTTTAGTTGTTGGTTCGTTTCAACCCCTAAATATATTGCGGACATCTTTGAAAATAATAGGCCTAGCCGTTCTGAGCCTAACCCTACCCTTGTGAAAAAAGGATGTTTTTTTAAAGGATTTTTCACAAATTTGACCTTTTGTGTGTTTTTTTTATCCATTTGTAAAATAATATAAAGTAAAAATGCCAGCCGAACTTTGACCACCAAATGGAAGATATTTGCGAATTTCAAAAAAAAAAAAAAAATAAAATAAAAATCCGTCGAAAAATACTGTTTAAATCATATAATTCCGAATATGGGGAATTACCTTTATATTGGGCACTATACGAAGACATGGACCTGTATAGGCAAATTTTGTCATAAACCATAACGATACTCAAATACGAAACTTAAAACAGTTCCGTGTACCTATTTCGAACTTCAAATACGAAATTTGAAACAAAAAACATAATATCGGGAGGTATCGTTAAATGGGGGGCCATACGAAGACCTGGAACTGCATAAGCAATGTTCTGTTCTTTTTCAAAAACAAAATTCCTGCAGATCAATCTACTCCATTTCGTTCGGAAGTAAGAGTGATTTCCGCAGACGACCAGGCCGACGGACATTGCAAAATCGACAAAGAATTTTATGCTGATCGTGGTCTAACATTTCCATTTCGAGGTGTTAGAAATGGAATGACAAACTTAATATACCCTCCATACTATGGTGGAGGGTATAATTTTGACAAGATGATGAGGAGATTTATAAAAAAAAAAACGAGCATAAAGAGACTATTAAAGACAAGCTGGTAGGGATGTTTCCACAAACGAGCTGATATGAGTGAGAGCGAATTAGCTAGAGAGGATATCAACGGGATAAACTGAAAATTAAGTCTATTGTAGATGAGATGAAGAGCAAGTCCATTCGAGCTTATGAAGGTCAATTATGGACGAGGCAGCAGAGTAGCCTTTTATATACGAGGTGATGGAAACTTATCTATAGACCAACTCTTATGGTGTTCATTATAGCCAGATCAGCCGATGAGGGAGTCTGATAAGGTAATATAGGATACAAACTTTTTTAACCGTTTCGATTTGATTATCGATTATCTATCAGCTGGATAATAACCCGGTTGTTGTAGAAGAGTCGAAAACATATAGCTGATTAACGTTTAGCGTTTTACGACAGTGGACTGCTGACGAGCGGGATGATTGTAGTCCACTTATCTTTAAAGTACTTGGCTGATAGACTTTGGATTATCAACTTATTCATGATAATAGGGTTGTAATAGTTGGAATTTTCCTCAACCTTTGATGATATTGGAGTCCATGGGGTCAAGCCTAATATAGTACCTACTTTTATGATCACTTTTCGAGTGTGGAGGAAATGCATGGAAGAATCTTACACTCAAAAGTTCTGTAAGCAATTGTGGAGCGCTATCTTAATTTTATTTCAGAACTTTACTTCTGAATATTTTTACCCTATACCACACTGTGGCAAAGACATAGAAGCATTAAGATATGGCAAGACTGAGTCAAAATATGGCAACCATGTGAAAATGCCAATGTTGGCAATATGCAAATTTTTAAAAAGGTCTACGGAATAGAATTTTGAAACCACATATTTGAATTTTTCAAACTTTTATTTGAATATTATATTTCCGTTATTGGGTTTTTATACCCTACAATACTATGTATTGGGGGTATTATAAGTTTGATTGGGCCAGAATTTATGTAACACCACGAAATATTGGTTTCCCATATAGGAGAGTATATATGGATCTTCCTAGCTTGCCGAGCTGAGTCGATCTAGCTATGTATGTCCGTCCGTCCGTCTGTCCGTCTGTCCGTCTGTCCATGTTAATTTGTAATCACTCTACAGGTCACAATTATGGACCGATCCTTACGAAATTTTGCACGAAGGTGGGGTTAGGGTCAGAATAGCAGCCTATTTCTTTTGGAGATGATCGCCAAATGTTTAGGGGTTGAAATGGACCAAATACGGAAAAAATGTCGGATTTTGCAGTAGCTATACAGGTCGCAATTATAGACCAATCGACGCGGAATTTCGCATGAAGCTAGAGTTTAGGGCGGGGAAGAAGCCTACAAATTTGGGTGGTCATTGGATAATATTTAGCGGGTAAAATAGACCATATCTTTTGTGTTGAAAAAATTCAAAATTTTTCATTAAACCGCGAATATTTAAATCCCGGCGAAATCACAAAGCCATGGCAAGGTTACTTCTGATCTTTACATTGATGTTAACATCCAACAAAACGGATATATAGCAAAATATGTGCGATATATATGTTTATCAAAGAAGATATGCTTGAAAAATCTCTTATATGTCGAGAACGGCTGAACTAATTTCGACAGTTCTCATTAATCCAGAATGTCCTCTTGGCAGGAAAGAAAAAACGTCAAAAAAAAATCGCATAAAAATATCTGTCTAAAGATGAAAATATTGATCTTGTAACATTTTCTCATATTTTTTCAATTTTGTCACATTTTTGGCATATTTTCATTTTGAATTAAACATTTGGTAATATTTCTACAGCTAACAAAACTAAGTAGTTAGGATATCAGAATATCATATACAGATCGCATTTATGGCCTGATCCTTACGAACTTTTGCATGGAGATAAGATTAGGATCAGAATAGAAGCCTACTCATTTTGGAGATGATCGCCATATATTTAGGGGTAGGAGTGCAAAAGTGTCAGGAGGTCGTAATTATCGCCCGATCCTCACGCACATTTCAATCCGGGTTACCGGACATTGCAAAAGCCAAGCAGTTTTGGATGGCCATCCAAAAATATTCAATGTGTGAATAGTTTGTCAACTTTTCTAGACAAAATACGAAAAAGTTCCATTCCAGTGACTTTTTGGAGAATTCACAAATACAGGAAAGACGCACTTCTGACTATTTCGTTAACGCTGATTTCGTTGAAGAATATAGTCAAATGTCTGTATCTCATATAGATGCGTTTCAGTCAAAAACCAATAATAAATGTTAATATTTTGCCACTTCTGAGAGATTATAGGTATTTGGGAAATATTGGTTCCAGATCTAGGAAGAGTGAAACATCTACCAATAAATTGGAAATGAGCAAATTAGTTAAAGTTGCTATTATTCGAAAATTAGAGAACGAAACCTGGTGGTTTTCTTTTATAATTTGTCACAATATCTTGTGGAATTCTTTCGAGTATCTCGCCTATATAAACTGTATCGTTTGTTATAGTGTTGTAGGGTATTCAACGGTCGCCCCGCTCGACTGTAGCCTTTGCTTACTTGTTTATATTAACATCCCTCTGTCATGAGCTGTTGCTCGACGTATTGTAGACACAAATTTACATTACAGCTCAGAAATACTTTTGCTAGTTTTTTTCGAGATCGGTTCAGGTTTGGGTATAGTTCCCATATATATATTTACTTGATTCCTAATTTATTGTGCTCCAAATAGTTAAAATAAGCCCGAATTGAATGTATTTCGGCATATGCGAACGAATTTAGCCTGGAAGAAAGTATATCAAATTTGGTGAAAATAGCTTAAGATATAGCCATAGGTCCTATATATATAAATATTCATCCGATTTTTTATTTTACTCCCTCACATCCGTAAAATATTCTCCATGACATCAAAATTTGGTGCCAATTATCCGATGCAGCATAGAAATACTTGTGCTAAATTTTGTACAGATCAGTTCAGATTTCGATAAATCTTCTGTATTTATCTTCATCCGATTTCACGTTTATTGGACCTAAAAAGTGTAATATCAGCTCAAATATGATGGTTTTTGATATGTATCGGTTCAGACACAAACTCCCCCATCAAATTTAGTGGAATGCGATAGAAGCCTGTCATATTTTGGTTGGTATGCTACAGTTTACAGTTGGTATGTTTTTTTTTTTTAATCCCAATAAAAACGTGTATTTGTTATATGCACGTAGCTCTATCATAAATGCAAAGTGGTGCATGGTAACATAAAGTAGGTCCATCCCGACTTTGGCCTTTCTTTACTGGTTTTAACATCCTAATCTTATGGTGGAGGATAAACAAATTAAAGTTACACAAAATATTTTGTTTTTGTAGGATTTGCAGCTTTTTAATGCTTTTTTAGATGCAGTAATTTGTAGTGTTGTAAATAATAAAAAATATTAAATGTTAATAATTTTTTATGGATTTTTTTTCTTATTTTAGGTAAAATAGAAAATCATAGTTTTGAAGAAAATCCCATATTCAAAACAGAACAAGGCAAATATTTAGCTGAAAGTAAGTACAAATAATAATTTCTAATTTATATAATTTTTTTTTTAATACAGGGTGAGATAAAAAATTGCAAGATAATCAAACGGCATAGTTTTTACATTTCTTTTTAAATTTTATTGAATGAAAACAAAAAAAAAAAAAAACATCGGAAATATCATCAAATTTTAGAATAAGTTGAGATTTCTTCGAATTGGTCACCTGTGGCACGAATTATGGCCTTCAAACGGCCAATGAAACCGTCACACGCTGCCCGAATGTTACTCTGCGGTATTTTGGCCCATACCCGGAGAAGCGCCTGCTTGAGGTGATCGACACTTTGGTATTTTTTAGTGCCTTTCCAAAATACTCCAGACACAATAGTCCAACGGATTGGTATCCGGAGATTTTGGTGGCCATTGTGCGCTGGAAATGAGCGAGGAACCTCATTTCGTAACCATTTTTGGGTGGCGCGTGCTGAGTGCGATGGTACTGAGTCCTGTTAGAATATAAAAGGTCTGCGGCCAAAATGTTTGAATGCCTAAGGCTTTAATACACCCTCCAGAATATTTTCGCGATAATATTCGGCATTTATTCTGATACCACGGTCGATTACTACGAGCAGAGATCGATAATCGGCTGTATTCGCCGTCCACACCATCACCGTGTCCGGCGCTTGAGTTCTTGTGGCCAACCGAATGTGCAAATTTTCAGCTCACCTATTTGGCAAGTAAACACGATAATTTAGTTGGTTTACAAACTGCTGCATAACGAATGTTTTCTCATCGAGTAAACCAAATTCTGCAGTTCACCACTTTCGGCTAAGCGAAGCAACTTTTTAGCTCTTTTGAGTCTATTTTCTTTCTGTTGCGATGTAAGTACTTGCACTTCTTGGAATTTCAATAGCTTTTCTCCGAGATCATTTTTCAATATTTGCCGAATGAAATATTGCGATATGTTCAGCTCACGAGCCATTTTTCGGCCACTGCGACGCGGGTTTCGATCAAGTCACTTCTTTACTTTTCAAACCATTTCTGCAGATGTTTCTGTTTTCTTCCGTTCACTTCCTTGACGTCTGGCTACGCTACCAGTATCACAGTAACAAGCGATGGAACGAGACACAAAAGATTTATTCAGATTTAAATTCTGGAGTGCTCTAACGATAGCCACTTGTGGTTTTCCAGCCAAATATAAAGAAATCACACTATCACGCTTGAATTCCATCACGAATAACTTTTTTTCTGGAAAATTCTCACCAAAATACACTTTTACACAATATAATATGCTGTCACTTTAATAATTTTAACAGCTGTCGGACGAGTGGCTTAGAAATGACAGCAGTCTGAAGTTAATTGAAGTTTTTTCATCTCACCCTGCAGTTTTCAACAAGGGTGGTTAAGATAGTTCTCTGGCCTGAATAGTATTCGGTAACGGTGTCATGGAATAGTTAAGATTAAGAATTTGGAATTAAAAAAACAAAAATATCATATTCTTGGCCCTCCCAGAGAACTATGTTTTCTTGCTCCAATCAACGAAACTGCCCAAAATTTTATAATTCCCCAATATTTCTTTTGCAGATCTAGCCGATCCCCTTATCAAAGCTTTAACACAAGTTGCACAAAAACGCCCACAAGATCCCCTGCAATATTTAACGAATTATCTGCAAACATTTGTGGCACAGCGTAACACAAATGGACGAACAGTAGTACAAGCTGCCGTCCATTCGGGCAGTAGTCACACAGACTCCACGGCACTGGCGGCCAATTCGCAAACAGACTCACTTGAAGAGAAGCCAGTTATTCCTACTTCACGTATGAATGGACATGTGACACGCGACAAGGGTGAAGATATCGGAACGGATCCTGCTCAACAACAAATCGACGATGAGGATGCCGATGAAGCGGAGGCTGCACTGTCCAAGCGCTTAGAGGAACGCGATGAACATGGTCAGAGTATGCTGCATTTTGCAAGTGCCCGGTCACATCGTCGCGGTGGTCTACTGCAGTTGATCGAAGAATCGAATGTGGATATAACATATCGTGATGAGTTGTATCGCACGGCCCGTGATGTTGCCCTGCAGGCGAATCAGGTGGTCAATGCCAAGGATATTGATCGTTATTTGATATCGCTGGCGATTGTTGGTAGGAAGCCGTATGAGATTTTCGAATTTGAATATATTTCCATTTATTGTGTCTTTGTATAGGTGATGTCAAACCCTTTGAGTATTTTGCCATTGCCGGCTATGATCATATCATTGATGTAATGGAAGATGACAGATCAATTATCGAGGTTGCCGAATCGAAAGGTCATACAGAGTTGGCAACCTATTTGCGTACCATACGTCCTATGGAGGTAATTTAATTTGAAATTTTACTACTCTCTATGATAGGCAATGAGAATATTTGTATTAAATTTTAATTTTTTTAGGAATTACGAGAAGAACTTCATCAAATGATTCGTGACCATAAAGTGGATCGAGTTAAGGAAATTGTTGCTGGGCCAGAAGCCAAATGGTTGTTAATGGCCAGAAATTATTATGGTAAACATAGCTATATAATTGGCTCAATGTTGTTGTTTCAACTGATTTTATTGGTGTTTTCTTTGCCATTCTGCTATTAACTCCAAGTTCATAATGAGGTTGATGTTGGTCGAGTAGATTTCGTTCAGTGGTTGAAGGGTTGCAAACTGTTATGTGGGGCAGATCTACAAAATAACAAGTAGACACATTAAGGTCGGCCGAACTTTTAATCCTCTTCACCCTGGGTAAAGGAAACACTTTTACATAGAAGTATCTGAATTTAAGCGTGTTCTACTTTAAACGTCATATGCCAGTAAGACTGTTTGGAAAATGCAGTTAAACTTATCAAAAAAAAAGTGGGTGAGGCCACTATATGATGAGGCCATACCAAAACGGAAACCTCTATAGACAATTTTCTGCTTCAAGGATTCTCATCTATCAAATTCGTGGGTATGTGACTAGGATTATTAAAATACCGAATATCGGTGGGTACGTTACATATAGGAAAACGTGAAACTAAATATACAATATTCTGCCTCCGGGCTAGAACGCATTGCAAACTTAAAATACCAATTTTTACACAAATCCGTGAAAAAATATGGCAAAAATCATCAAAATTCTGAATGTCGGGAGGTTCCGTTAAATGGGGACTATACCAAAACGTGGACCAATATATCTCATTTTCAATACCAACCATCCTAAACACAATAAAAATCGTTCTGCACTGTAGGCTGTATCGTGATTTCAACAGACAGACGGACATCGTTACTAAAATATCAACTATCAATCGGGTTTCCTTTTAAAAATCTTGTTCCGGTGTGAAAAGTCCTGAAGAAGAACTTTAAAAGTACTTGAGATATCACACTAACTTAGGAAAAAGTGTGGGTATCTGCAATTTTTTGTTATTTCTGGCATCTGGAGATTCAAACGTGTCCTAAAAGGAATATATATTTTTATTCTAATTATGCAAATCCTAATACAGGGTTGCTCATATTCGACGGACCTTTGGGCCCATTCCAATTGACGAGGCTTGTCCGCAGGCAACAATCTTTGCGTCAATTGAACTTTGTACGGGAACAAATGCAAATCAATGCGAATAATCCGTTATAAAGTGGACCGAGCCATGCCCAACTGCTGAGAACGGCGTTTTTGGGCAGCGATATTCTCGGCCGATCGCCTTGGTCGACTTTTATGTGGCCTCTTCGGATAAAAAAAGCCTTACCAGTCGAAAATTTTTCGTATAAACGCTTGATGGTGTTCTTAAAAGGCGCACTTCTCACATTTTTTAATGTTTTAAAAACACGTTGAGTTTTCACAATTGACTTCTTCTGTTGAATATAAATTTCACCTATTTCAGAGCGCTCGCGTGGCGTGTATTGGTTCATGGTAAAAATCTGCTTGGACTGACGCTTCAAACGCGGTATGTCATTAAGCGATGGGACATCTCTGTAAGAAGTTATGGCGCTGCCTTTCATGGGGTAAAGTACTCACAAAAGAACTCCTTGTGTAAAATTTCAGACAAATACATTGGAAAATGTGGCTAAAATCATCAAAATACCGAATATCGGGGTGTAACGTTCCATGGGGGCTATACAATATCGTGGACCGATATAACACATCTTTGACCTTGACCTGCCTGCAGACAAAATACAGATCTGTGCAAAATTTCAGTTTCCTATCTTAATTTATTTTGATTGTAGCTTCATAAGAACAGACGGACGAAAGGACAGGGCTAAATCGTCTTACAATTTTACGCTGATCAAGAAAATATATACTTTGTTGGATCTAAAATTATTATTTCGATGAGATATAAACGGAATGACGAACTTAATATACCCTCCATACTATGTATGGTGGAGAATGTAAAAATCGGTTAATTGAAAGCCGACCAAAGTCGAAATTTCGTAAATTGTTGCATACCTTTTAGCTGTGTAGAAATTAAAGTCGATCAACAATCAATGAATGTATACCGAAAATAATATTTTCGATAACAAAAATCAGGAGTATCAAAGCTTTGATTTCTGTGTAATCATGACCATGATATTTTCCGACCATAAATTTTGCGGTCAAAAAGACCACAGACCTGCTGGTCACGAGGAGCACTGAGGTCAGCGGTCCGGTGACTATTTATGTCGATAGTCAAGCGGCACTGATGGCCTTAAATTCCTTTACTATCAAGTCTAGGGCTGTTTTGAACTGAAGGGAATCCTTGGAAAACACTGGGTTGTCCATCAAGCTCTGTTGGGTTCCTGGCCATTATAACATCCCAGGTAACGAGACTGCAGACGAATTGGCCAGGCTAGGATCCGAATCAACTTCAATTGAAGTAGACAACTCGGTTAAACCACCACTGTGTCATTTCCTACAGGTCATTCACAGACATTACTCTGAGAAAATCCAACAAAAATGGCTGAACGAAATGGGATGCACCATCTCCAAAAGAATCTGGCCTACACTCTCAGAGAAGAGAACAAGATCGCTGATGTCATTGTCAAAACCTGATTAAAAACTTGTGGTGGGTATCATCACAGGTCATTGTAAGGTGAGGGATATGATCTTGAAATGGGACAGCGACGACATTGACTACTTTAGGAACTGTCAAGATGAAGAAGAAATCGAGACAGTCGAACAGTTGCTCTGCCACTGCCCAGCACTCATAAATGTGAGATACAGACTAGTGGGAGAACTAGTGTCACATGATCTGTCCTCTTTTTCTAATCCTTCGATTAGCCAGAAGATTCAAGTGGCTAAAGACCACACGGCAAACTCCTCAGCCGTAGATCACACTCTTAAACTCTATTTCTTATATTCATCTCTTCTACAACCACTTTTTCTCTCTTTTCCTAACATTCTTCTAGGATGAACACAATGGTCTCCTAGTGAAGCGGTTGCCATATGGTAACCGCGCGTCCTTTAAAATAACCTAAACTAACGATAAGAACATATGGCTTGAAAGCATGTCACATGAATGTTTGTGATTGGTCTTAATTTTGGCTCGGTTCAAAAGCAACCGGGTTTTCCAAGTTTCATGTTGGTTCAAATCAGCAAAATGTAGCCCTGGTTGAAATGTTGTTTCTTTCGAATGGCGGTTGCTTAATACGAATAATCATCATTCATAATTTAACTAAACTGCTTTATGTATTTTAAATGAATGATTTACGTTTAATTCTATATGACAGGAAGGACAGCGCTGCATATAGCCATATTAAAAGAAGACGAGGAGCTGGTGGAACATTTTGTTAAAATATGTCCGGAGGCCTTGAAAATCGGTGATAATGTAAGATTTATATAATTGGATTTTCTTCACTTTGCCAATTCAATGAACTTATTTCAAATTTTCACTTACAGCTGGAACGGTCTCCTCTGCACTATGCCATGGGCACAAATCTGGTCGAAGGCATCAGTCGGATACTCATACAAAACGGGGCCAAGCGAACGAATAAGGACTTGAAGGGACGACAACCAAGCTATTATTTTATGAATAAGGCAGACATTCTGCGATTACAAGAGGAGGAAGATGAAAACCGCTAATGTGGATCAATATTCACACACACACACACACACACACACACATTCACCAGCTCACCCAAACACATGTCACCTAATTTAAAGTAAAGATTGTCTTATAAACACCTTGTATTGTTGCCTAATTTTAACTTTTAAATTTATCGACAATTTTAATTTCCCCTCCAAAAAAAAAAAAAAAAAAAAAAAAAAAAAAACTGAAGTATTATTTTGTAAGAAAATCAAACAACGTGTAGTGTCAAATGTTTAAATTTTAAGTAACCAAAAAAAAAAAAAAATATTTTAAAAAAAAGTGCACTTAAATGAACGTCTATATTGTTTAACAATTGTGGTTTCCTTTACGATTTATTCTGAAATTAAGTGCCTTTTTAGGAAGTAAAAAAAATCTAAAACATTTTTTGAGCACTTTGGTGTGCCCTCTTAAAAATTAAGTGCCTTAAGAAATCAAACAAAATTAAAATATCTAAAATTATACAATTTAAAATTTAAACAAAATTCACAACGAATTTATTTATTCATAATTTGGAAGAAAAACAAAAAACTGTTTAATTTAAGTATTTATAAATTATTTAAAATTGATAATATGTTTTATTTATTTGTTGAATAAAGGAAAGGTAAATGGAATTGGATGTGTTTAATAAGGAGTAACGAATTAATGGGTGAGGGTGCATTATACCAATATTATACTCAGAATATTTACACTGTGCAACACAAACCAGTAAATAAAATCTTAAAGTCGGGCGGGGCCGACTTTATGATACCCTACACCACTTTGTTAATTTAGTAGAGCTCCGCATAACAATTAAAACATTTTATGGGAGAATTCATTCCTACACGCCATGATTATAATTATAATTTAAAGTTCAAAGGACAAAATATGCCGGAGCAATTGTATTTTTTAAATTCGGACTTGTATGGCCCATTTGGTGCACAATTAATTTGAAATCAGATAAAGATATATATGGGAGCTATATCCAAATCGGAACCGATCTCGATAAAATTTGGTAAAGATATATTTCCCTGAATATCGTTGTTACGGAGTGCATATTACGGCTGTAGGTAACAAATACAACAAATCGGATGAACAATATATATGGGAGCTATAGCTATAACTGAACCGATCTTCACCAGATTTGGCATACTAGCTTCTACACTCAATTCGCTCATAAGTGCCAAATTCCATCCCATTTGGGCAAATATTAGACGGTTGGTGCACAATAAAAGGTAAATCGGACGAAGTTATATATAGCTATATCCAAGTCTGAATCGATCTCTATAAAATTTAGCAAATGTATTTCTGAGCTGTATTTGATATATTTTCCCAAATATTGTTGTTACAGAGTGCATATTACGGTTGCGGAGGACAAAATAACAAATCGGATGAACAATATATATATGGGAGCTTAAGCTATATCTGAACCGATTTCGATCAAATTTGGCATACTTATTTTCAGGCCTAATTTGGATGTATGTGAAAAATTCCATACTATTCGTACTGATATTAGACGTTTGGTGCAAAATAAAAGGCAAATCGGACGAAGATATATATGGGAGCTATATCAAAATTTATACCGATTATTCTTGGGCCAAACAAATAATTTGTGCAAAATTTCATATGGATAGGGCAATAAATGCGAAATGTACTTTGTTTACAAAAAAAACACCTTGTGGTGTAGGGTATACAAATAATTACGTCGAAAATGCAGTAGATTATGAAAGTCAAAGAAACCTAAACAGAGCTGGCAAGCCACCACCACCTCTCCCACACTTTTAGAAATATTCGGATTAAGATTCCTCGAAATCTGAGCATTTTAGGTAAATAGTGTCTTCGGCAATATTACAGGCAAAACTACGAGGAAAAATTTTCGTCGAAAAAATTGAACTTCAAGCTAGTCAACAAACAAGCCTTCTCTTAAGTATGCAAGTTAAAATATTTCACAAAATCATTTGTCATAAAATTCTACTGTAGGTCCTAGAACACGATAGATGTACACTCACAGCATGTGGTCGATTATTTAAATATATTTTGACTTATAATTATTCAAATTGTTGATCCTGGAATGGGTTACGAAGAAATCGGCAATATTGCCCATTTCGTATTGGACCTAAATAAATATGATCTGAATATTGCGACGTGTCAGGTTTGGACTATATTCGTTACTTCCTTCACTTTATATGAGACATGTGATAATTTTTAGAAAATGTTAAAATCTGTCTGATGTACCACGTACTAGTTGCGATAAAAAACTGCAACAAAGTCAAACGCGATAATTTTTACATTTTTTTTTTTAAATTTTATTGAATGAAAGCAAAAAATATCGGAAATAGAATCAAATTTTAGAACAAGTTTATATTGTTCGAATTGGTCACCTTTGGCATGAATTATGGCCTTCAAACGGCCAATGAAACTGTCACACGCTGCCCAAATGTTGCTCTGCGGTATTTTGGCCCATTCCAGGCAAAGCGCTTGCTTGAGATGATCGACACTTTGGTATTTTTTAGTGCCAACCTTGCTTTCCAAAATCCCAGTCACAATAGTCCAACGGATTGGTATCCGAAGATTTTGCGAGGAACCTCATTTTGTAAACATTCTTGAGTGGCGGGTGCTAAGTACGATGGTGCTGAGTCCTGTTTTAATGTCAAAGGTCTGCTGCCAAAATGTTTGCAAGACCAAGGCTTTAGTACGCCCTCCAGAATATTTTCGCGATAATATTCGGCATTTATTCAGATGCCACGGACTATTAATACCAGCGGAAAGCGACCGTCAGCTGTTATAGCGATCCACATCATCACCATGGCCGGCGCTTGAGTTCTGGAAGCCAACCGAAGGTGCACATTTTAGCTGACCTCTTTGGCAAGTAAACACGATCATTTTGTTTGTTTACAAACTGCTGGACTACAAATGTTTTCTCATCGGAGAAAACCAAATTCGGCAGTTCACCACTTGCGGCCAAGTGAAGCAAATCTTTGGCTCTTTTGAGTCTATTTTCTTTCTGTTGCTGTGTAAGTTCTCGCACTTTTGGAATTTCAATGGCTATACCAGAAGAACTGGTCTGATCTCTACCATCATTATTCCAGATCTTGGGCTGATAGAAATATTGAGATGTACCGAGTCTGAATGGAATCGGATGTTAATTTCCCATATTATGAGCTTCCACTTACTCAAAATGTTCAGCCTTTGTGGAGGAGGTACCTGAATTAGTTGACCGATATATTCCATCTTCACACCAGACCTTGGATTAATACAAATTTTGTGATGTGTGTAATGCTTTTTTCGATGCTTATTTGGATTTTATGATCGTTTTTGTTATTCAAAACTTTGACCATTTGTGGATACCAGAAAAAAGTGATCCGATCTCTACCATCTTTATAAAAAATCTTGTGTTAATGTACATATTGGGATGTGCCTAGTCTGAATGAAATCGGATGTTAATTTCTTTGAGGTAAACTATTTTCTTTAAAAAAAATATGGAGTTGCCAGAAGGAGTGAATCCGTGTTGCCCATCTCCGAACTCGGACCATGCTTGACAATAATATTACGATGTACCGAGTTTGCGTGCGCAAATAGATAGACAGACAGGCGGACGCCCATAGATCGACTTTTGGTATTGAAAATGGGCCATGTGCGTCCACGTTTTGTTATAGCCCCCATATAGTCGTACCTCCCTATTTTCAGTTGTTTAGTGATTTAAGCGACATTATTCACCTTAAATGTTTTAAATTTGATATTTGAAGTTCGTAATGGATGCTACATCCTAAGACAGAAAATTGTCTGTTAAAAAAAATAATAAATAAATAAAACAAATTAATAAATAAATAAACCACTTCAAAATTCTGTTAAAATCTTAAAAATGTCGAATATAGGAAGTGGCCGTTATACTGGAGTCTATACGAAGACATGGACCTGTATAGAAAATTTTCTGTCATAGACTATAGAACCTATTAGGATCTTCAAATGCGAGATTTGAAACAACTCGGGTGAATTATGTGTCTAAAATGATCAAAATACCGAATAAGGGTGGGGGGTTATACGATATCGTCGTCCTATATAGGGGGTAAAATACTCAGAAGAAACTCCTTGTGTGGATTTTGAGACAATTGCATGGGAATGTTTGGCTACAGTCATCAAAAAACCGAATATCTGGGATACCGTTATATGGGTGCTATATGATATCGTGGGCTGATATAGCCCATCTTCGTACCTGACCCGGCAGATGGACAGGCGGACGGACGGACGGACAGGGCTAAATCATCTTAGAATTTTACGCTGATCAATAATATATACACTTCGTTAGATCTGAAATTATTATTTCGATGTGTTATAAACGGAATGACGAACTTAATAAACCCCAACACTATGTATGTTGAAGGGTATGAAAAAAAAATGGATCAATATTTCAAGTATTTATTGCGTTTTAGTCATATTTTCCATTGCATTTAGTAAAAAATCAAAAATGTCCAGTCCAGTTTGTTGTTATTGTGAGGTTTTGGTCATAGCTACCAATCGACTTGGCTTTAACGAGGTTTTTAGGGCGTTTAACACTTTTTCGCGATAAATTTCAATTATTTCTGAATTTTGCCTATAATTATAATGCTCCTGACTTAATTTGAAACTATTAGCTCTTGGTTTGTACCATTAATTTATGCTGTTATTAAAATCCTGCCCTATCCCCTGACGTTGTAAAAAGAGATTTTGCAAAAAAAAATGTTTTGCAAAATTTCTAAAGTTTCAACTCTTATAAATTTGTTCAATAACAATGGCGCACCGTTGTTTACTTTTTAAATCCTTAAAGTATGAACTTTGGTAAGCTGATAGCTGAGTTTTTATTCATTTCAACTAATTTCTATATCCCGTGCGTCATGCTCAAATTTCCAAAGAAATCATGCGATAATTGTAATTTATGATATTCCCACGACCCGCCGCAGGTGGGAGAAAGCGCAAATCGTTGATATCAACGTTTATAGTTCAGTTCTATTTTAAATCCAATAATTTGGGACCCCCATCTACTCGCTCAGTCTTAGAGGCGTAGTGCAACACTACTTCCCAGCAAAA